CATCACCATCACACATCACCATCGTCGTCGTCCTCATCATCAATATTTCAACTACATCTCAATTTTAACCAGAACAGTTTTTCATTGTTTATAATAACTTCTTCAACTAATCCATCTTATGTACTCTTTGTTATCTTTCATAGCCTAGGTATACAGCATTAACAAAAAATCCGGAAAACATTTAAAAGGCGTTTCAGGCATTATTATTATCGTTATAAAATATTTTCTAATCATTAGGAAGAAATTTTGTATGTTCTGTTCATGTTTGAATTTATGTACGCAAGTACACACGCATGTACACACGCATGTACACACGCATATACGTTTGTGTGTGTGTGTGTGTGTGTGCGTTTGAGCTCTTGCATGCGTACATTCAGGTAGTTTTGATAAACAAACGTACGAAAAAATACATCAGCGAAACAAAATCGACAACTTAAACAAAAAAAAAATTAAAAGATCTATGATATGCGGCCTTCCTTCTTCTTCTTCTCGTCAGCCCGCTTCATGGAATCAACATGGAGGATGTTCAGCAGGTGGTCCTTCATGGCTTCCTTCTTCCGAATCAGCAGTTTATCGTGATAAGTCAGACTCTTTCCGAGATCTCGACGTAATGTTTCAAACTCTTCGGCTGTGAACGAGGCGTGCGGTGGCACCTTCTTAAAAACTGTTCCTGTATGTATGTGTACGTGTGCGTGCGCGTGTGTGGGGGGGGGCGTCTCTCTCTCTCTCACTCTCTCTTTCTCTCTCACTCTCTCTATCTCTCTTTATCATTCAAATCAATCAATCAAATCAATCAATCAGTCAATCAAATCCACCAATTAACCATCTATTTTATTTAACCTTTGAACCGGAACATGGCCCAGGGGTCAAGTTCATCGTCCGAGCCATCAGCTTCATCGAAGGCGTCGTAGGTCTGCGGTAGATTTGTGTTGTTGCCATCATCGTCATCGCCGCTATTATTATTTTGATTACTACTACTACTACTACTACTACTACTACTACTACTACTACTACTACTACTACTACTACTACTTCTACTACTACTACTACTACTACCACCACCACCACTTTTATCATCGTCAATAATAGCACTCTCTGCGCTCCTTCTAGCATTGCTAACGTATCCAATGTTTTTATTGCTGATGTTGTTGCTGTTGTTGTTTTTATCATTATTGTTGTTATTATTATCATCGTTGTTGTTATAATTTCCATAGCTAGCATTGTTGTTCGTTTTATGTTGATTAGTTTGTTGATGTTGTGAATGTTGTTGTGTTTCTGGCAGCGGCGTTTGTGACTGCGTTTGCTGCTGCTGCTTTTGTTGATCGGATCCCTTTATACCCCCTGTCAGTGTCGTCTTTGGGATTTTTTTTTTCTTCCTTGAAACAGAATCTCGATTATCGCTACTACTGGCGACACAATTTTGACCACAACCACTCCTACTACAAAGGGATTTGATTCGCTGAATTACTCTCCGCAATTTCCGAACTTTCTGATAGAGCCTGGTTAAAAGTTTGAGCTGACTCTCACTGATGCGCGCCATGTATTCGAATACGTACATCTCTCTCCTGCGAACATAGTGGGCTACGACTGGGTAGTTACTGAGACATTCCCATTTCTGTGGTTGTTGTAGTGTGGCTGTTGTGGTGTGGTCGTCGTTGTGGTGTGGTCGTTGTGGTGTGGTCGTTGTGGTGTGGCTGTTGTGGCTGTTGTGGTGTGGTCGTTGTGGCTGTTGTGGTGTGGTCGTTGTGGTGTGGTGTGGTCGTTGTAGTGAGGTCGTTGTGGTGTGGTCGTTGTGGTATGGTTGTTGTGAGAGGTTACAATCAATTGAGGGAGAAAGAATAAATACAAGTATGATGATCAGAAGGACAAGAAAAAGAAAACAAAATGTTAATAACGATGGTGACGACGATAATGATGGTGATAATGAAGAAGATGATGATGACGATGGGACGGAGAATATTGAAAATGATGAGAACTAAGACTTACTTACCGAACAATATCCGAGAGGTTGTCTATATTTCAATCTGTACCATGATGGTAAGTAACCTGAATGATTGAATCAGAATGAATGAACGAATGAATGAATGAACGAATGAATGAACGAACGAACGAATGAATGAAACCTTGAGTTATGTGCTCCAAGGTAAACGGTGGCAAGAATGTTTCTCGATCATCCCTATCGCGTGTATCAGTCAGAAATACATCTCCGAGTGACAAACATATGCTGGTTTTCAAATCTTCGCCTGATTGGTTGGTTGGTTGAAAAATTTTGTTGGTTGATTAAACTGATTAAGAGATTTGATTGGTTGACAGTTCAATCGATAAACAAATGAACCAGCCAATCACGTAATTTCAATGACAACAAATAATACAAATAAAAAATTTAATAACAACCCGTTCCATTTTTGAGTGGGCACAAATCAATGACCTTCATGAAGGTCACCAAGGTACCCTTCGAAAGGACGATGCCCGCCCCAGCTGAGTAGATGCCGTGGTAGTTCTTCAGGTACTTGTTGCCACGCAGGTCGATGTAGAGGCCATGACCAAAGAAACGTGGCTCCGACGAGTTGACGTGGCTCAGGTATCTGTCGGGTGTGGTTTTTATTTTCGTTTCATTCAATCGACCAACCAGTCAACCAGGCAGACATCTATCAAATTAATAACTAACCGTTTGAGATTATCAACAAATATGTACGAATCAGGATCTGCCTTGAGGAAGAATTCAGCGTCATTTTTGTAATGCTGATAAACGTACTTCCAGATGACGCGGGATTTCGCTGCTATACTGTTACGTCCTGGAGCCGCTTTGCGTCCCAATCCGATACTCGGAAATTCCGGATCGCTGGGCCCCGTCGAAAAAATAAGCGGAACATCACAGCGACTCAACCACGTTCGTTGGGCGTGTTTCAAGTTTTCTTGAAGGTTGGGATCAGTCATGAGCCAGCAGAGGATTCTCGGTCTTTCAACGTTACTCCTCGGTAGTCTAAAAATTCTTCTCAACAGATCCAACCTCAACCAGTAACCTATGTTCAAGTTTGAAGATTTTTTTTGAAGCTCTGAATGGTATGACTTGTATGGCTGCAGAGATTGTTCCCGGGGGAGCGTTTCCCCCTCGTCGCCGGCAGTCGGGATGCCGTAGAGGGCGTCTATTTGGGAGGGGTCAGAGACGTAGGGCTGCGTTGGGTGCAGCCAATCATTTTTGTCTGTTTAGTGGGGCGTGAATTTGATGATCATTCGTTGAAATAAGTGGAAATAAGTGAAAATAAAAGAACAAAAATTATTTTTTTTCACAGACGACGTCACCGTCATCATCCTCATTATTGACATCGAAACTCACTGAGACTACCAGATAGTATGTCAAACGTTGTGCCTCTATAGCAATCTTCTGTCAGTGTGACAACAATGATACCCATCCAGAAACCAATTATAAGAGACAGAGTACTGATGAAGAGTTTCGATTTGCCAAGCCTTTTAAATCTAATCCAATAGCAACCCATTACTAATTAGTTAATTAATTAATGATTACTTATAAATTAATCTTCAATTACTTATTTAAATACTGTATCTATAGCTATATTTCAATTACTTAGATAATGGCCATTAAGCAATTTGAGATTGTTCAACACACGGCTTTACTAATACAATTTAAGTTAATCAGCGTTATTATTATTAATAATAGGGTAGTAAATTAATTGTCATATGTGTTGAAAAATTAATAAATTAAACAAAGAATGACTGAATTCACCGTTAAAACATTAATTTAATATTAAATAATATAAATAATTCATTTTAATTTTTTCTAAAAGTACTTAGTAACTAAGTCTTAGTTTGTTTTACTACTGTTTTTAAAATTTAAATTTAAACATATATAAATTGCGAATATTGGAACTTGTATTATTTTAAATATTTGATAATATATATTGTATATATACATTGTATAGATATTTATAATTTATATGGGCCAGTCAAAAGGCAAGACAACTGCTTGATCTGAAATGTTAACATAAAATAATTTGCATAAATACAAGCGTCTTTCTGGTAAAAAGTAATGATTTATGATACAAATATCTGAAAAATTGAACTTTTTTCTGAGACAATTTCTTCCTTACTTTATATACGTAAAATCGACATTTTATTTACATATTTCCGACAATATGAAACCGTTTATTTAAAAATTAAAAATTGGATCTTGTTGTTATCAAAGATTATGAGTGCTAAACTATTATTTTTTAAATGTATAAACCATAAACTAGCATTTACTTGACATTTTCGAAGTTTTATTGTTTCATTTTATTTACCTATAATAAATAATTATTATATAAAATTATTTTTGATGTTTGGCGTTAGATGCAGGAGGCAACTTTTTGCACAGCAGCGTAGCAAAGAGTTAACTTAAGCGGACATACATTTGCACGTTCATACACACATACATACATACATACATTCCTACATACATACATACATACATACATACATACATACATACATACATACATACATACATACATACATACATACATACATACATACATACATACATTCATACATACATACATACATTTATTCATACAAACTGAATAGTAAGTTGATTTGTTGATTGATTTTAGGATTGGTTGGCTGGCCGGTCTGTTGGTTGAAGAATTGAAGTATTGAAAATGCAATAATATTTTTAACGTTCATTTTAGCAAGTTAGCAAGTTAGACATTTGAAAGAGAATCATGCAGCTCGGACAAGTAATCATAAGAAAAGATGAAGACGAAGATGATAATAACAACCTTTACTATCCACCTCATCATCATTATCATCGTAATTTCTACGTCGTCTTCAACGTCATCTTCAACGTCATCATAGTTTCCATCATTTTCAGCTCCTCAAAAGTTGTGGCTTTAAACCAACCGAGCAAAAGCTTGTATCAAACATTGTTAATAGAGTCGGATTACAACAAATTGATAAGGCCTGTCGGTGATATTTCTGATACTTTGATTGTAAATATCGGATTGAGGTTGATTGCCATCGTCGACATCGTAAGTTGGGTGACTGACTGACTGGCTGGCTGGCTGGCTGGTTGGTTAGTTGGTTGTTTGGTTGATTTGTTGGCTGGTTGGTTGGTTGACTGGTTGATTGGTTGGTTGACTGGTTGATTGGTTGGTTAGCTGATTGGTTGGTTGGTTGGTTGTGATGATTGATGATTATATAAAGTTGTATAGATTTGTATAGAGTTATCTAAAGTTAAATAGATTTTAAGCTGTTTTAATTCTATTTTATAAAAAAAACCAGGATGAAAAAAATCAAATAATGACAACAAACGTCTGGCTTGAGCAGGTAGGTAATCATCATCACCACCACCTCGACCATCATCATCATCATCGTCACCATCATCATAATCATCCCAACCACCACCGTCATCATCATCATCGTCATCATCGTCATCATTATGACGTCATCGTGACAGTCATGGCGTGACCACAAGTTAGTATGGCGCCCAGAGGATCATGGAAACATCACGAAGCTCTACGTACCGACGGATGCTATCTGGCTGCCTGACATCGTTCTTTATAATAGGTTGGGCGATTGACTGATTGTCATAATCGTCATCATCATCGCCATCATCATCATGGTCATCATCATCATCGTCATCACCATCGTCATCAGCGCGGACGGAAACTTCACGATAAAAATAGTAACGAAGGCGACTGTGCACTACGATGGTCTGGTGACTTGGACGCCGCCAGCCGTCTACAAGAGCCTCTGCCTCATCGATGTTGAATACTTCCCATTCGACGAACAACTTTGCACCCTCAAGATTGGTTGGCCGGTTGGATAGCTGGTGGAGTGAGAGATTGAGAAATGAATGTTTCATTCGTTTATTTGTTTGATAGTTTGCTCGCTTCTTCATGCACTCACTCACTGACTCACTCACTCATTCATTCACTGACTCACTCATTCACTCATTCATTCATTCATTCATTTACTCATTCACTCAGGTAGTTGGTCGTACGATGGTTTCTCAGTGGACATCAGGCATAATTCACTAGCTCAGGACGCCGATGATTCTGTATATATCGAGAAAGGTTATGATGATGATGACGACGAGGACGATGATAAAGATGATGATGAAGATGATGAGGACGATGAGTATTAATGTGTATATTTCAATTGCTAGCTGAACACATATACTAATTAATATGCATATGCATAATTAGTGAGGACGATGGGTATTAGTGTGTATATTTCAATTACTAGCCGTTAACAAACTTTCACAAACGCACCCATCCGCCAGGCATCAACCTGTCTGACTACTCGGCCAGCACGGAATGGGACCTGCTGTCGGTTCCGGCCCAGAAGTACGTCAAGTACTACCCCTGCTGCTCCGAGCCCTTCCCCGACATCAAATTCAACATCACCATCAGGAGGAAGACGCTGTACCATGCCGTCAACCTCATCCTTCCCTGTGTGGCCATCTGTGCCCTGACCCTCCTAGTCTTCTTCGTTCCGGCTCTTTCCGGAGAAAAAATAACAATGGCCATCACGATCCTGAATTCGTTGAATATTTTTTTGCTCTTGGTGGCTGAGATAAACCCGCCCACCTCCCTGGCCACACCTCTCATCGGCAAGTACCTCCTCTTCACCATGGTGCTCGTCACGTGCTCGATTATCGTCACCGTTTTCGTGTTGAATGTCCACTTCCGGTCTGCCTCGACGCACGTGATGAGCGATAGAGTGAGGACTTTGTTCCTTGAGGTTCTTCCGCGATTGTTGTTCATGCAGAGGCCGCAAGATAAGTACAAGCATAGGGAGATGATGAACAGGTTGGATATGAGTGGTGTGGGCGGTGGTGGAGCTGCTGCTGCTGCTGCTGTGGCTGCCGGTGGTGGTGCTACCGCTGGTGGTGGTGGTTCTCGGAGGAAAAAATCGAGTGCTGATGGTGCGAAAGCTGTAAGAATCGTCGAAGGATATGATGATGGAGGTGTTGGTGGGGAGGGCGATGGTGGAAATGACCGCCAGGGAGATGATGGAAGCCTCCAGGACGACGATGAGGTCGGGGAAGATAATGAAGACTTCGCAGGCGACGATGGCGAAGATGAGGACGACGATGGTGATGACGACGATGATGATGACGAGTCTAACGACGACGATGATGAGGAGGAGGAGGAGGAGGAGGAGGAAGAGGAGGAGGGGGATGTTGGTGATAATAGTGACCGAAAGTTCACCAATCGCAAATTTCAGCGTTGGCAATCAGATGCTGAAATCTGCAAGCACTCCAGACCTGCCGAAGTTCGTTTCGATGCAACTGCCTACAACAACAACAACAATAATGACAACAATAATAATGACGTCAACATTGATTTTGGCGCCAACGCCGACGAGAAGAACGACGGCATGAACGACAGTGTCAGAAGAAATAGCATCTGGAAAAAAAACACGGAAAGATTTAAATATGGCGGAAATGACATCAGACAAAATGGACGAGGTACTAGTAGAAGTAAGGGGTCAAAGCGG